GGGGGTGTGGCGCGCCCGTCCGCCGCGTGGGCGTGCAGGAGGGCAGCGGCGGCGGCCTTGACGTGGCTGACGAGGCTGTGGAATCGCGCCACCACCAGCCGCCGCGTCATCTCCTCCCGCACTCCCTCCTCTGCCTCCTCCCCCCTTACTGCTTCCTCCGTCGCCCCCTCACCCCCTTCCCCTTCCTCCGTCACCTCATCCCCTCTTACTGCCCCCTCCTCCGGCTCTTTCCCCCCTAACCCCTCCGCAATCGCCTCTGGCTCTCGCTCCCCCTCCGCCGGGCTGCAGCCCTCATCTGCCGCCTCCTCTCGCGCGCACCCTTCCTCCGCCTCCAAGCCGTGCTGCTCCGCCTTGATCTCTGCAATGCACCCCTCCTTCCCCACCGCTGCACGCGGATCTCCCCCCTCGTCCTCCCCCTCATCTGCAGCCCTCCTCTCCCGCCTCCCCCCCGACGTGCGCCCGCCCGTACTTCCGCCCCTCGCGCCCCTCTCGCCCCCCGCCTTGCTGTTCCTCTTCCCAGGCTCCGCTGCCCCCCCTGCGCCCGCCTTCGTAGTCGCGCTGCCCCACAATTCCCGCCTTCCGCTCGCCTTCGCCCACGCGCCTCCGCCTCCTGCCTTCGCTGCACCGCCGCCGCCGTTGCTGTTGCCCGCTCGGCTGCCAGCAGCGACAGGCGCCTTGGCAGCCCGCGCCGGCGCAGCAGCGACGGAGGCGGCAGCAGGCGCTGCGGAGACCCGGACAGGGCTGGCAGAGGAAGGCTGGGCGGCACACGCTGGCGAGGCGCCAGTGGCTGTGGACGCGTCAACCGCCGTGCTGCTGCTCCCTCCCGTCCCTGCCTCTACTTCCTTCTGCATCTCCGCTGCCTCTGCGTATTTCTTTGCGTTTTCTCTTGTTGGCTCTACTCCTTCCGCCTCTGCTGCTTCCGCCTCAGCTGCTTCCGCCTCTGCTGCTTCCGCCGCTGCTGCTTCCGCCTCTGCTGCTTCCGTCTCGGCTGCTTCCGCCGCTGCTGCTTCCGCCTCTGCTGCTTCCGCCTCTGCTGCTTCCGCCTCTGCTGCTTCCGTCTCGGCTGCTTCCGCCGCTGCTGCTTCCGCCTCTGCTGCTTCCGCCGATGCTGCTTCCGCCTCTGCTGTTTCCGCCTCAGCTCTTTCCGCCTCTGTTGCTTCCAACTCTGTTTCCTCCCCACCTGTGCCCGCATCTTTCCGTGCTTCCGCCTCAGTCCGCCCTGCCCGTTCCATCTCCCCCCCCTCGCTGCCGCCCTGCACATCCTGCTCGTTCCGCTCCGCTTCTTGCTTTTCCGCACAGCCCTCTGGTTCTGCCATCCCCCCCTTACCAACTTCCGCAGCTCCCTCCGCAGACTTGTGTCCGCTAGGCGCAACGGTGTCCTCCGCCCCGCGCTCTTGACTACCCCCTGGTTCCCCAGCCCCCACACTCCGCTGCTCCTGTTCTACTCCCGCGCGCTCATTCCTCCGGACCTCTTCCGTCACTTCCATCACCTCCTCTCCTCTGCCCGTCTGCGCGGCTTCTGCGGGCAGCAGCGCATCGGGGGTCATTGGCGCGACGGGCGCGCCTGCCTCGCGCGCCAGCTGCAGCAAGTAGGGCGTGCGGGAGGGGGTTCTCCGCGGAGTCTCGCCGCCCGCCTGCTCGCCCGACTTCCCGCCGGCAGCAGCGGCGGCACTGGCGGCGAACAGCGCGGAGCCGCCAGACGAGCGGAGGTCGGTAGAGCGCGGAAGGGCGGGTAGGCGCGAAGGCAGGCAGGCGCGGTGCCCGGGGCAGGCGTGCGCGCAGAGGTGGTTGCGCGGCGGGGAGGCGGGGAGCGCGAGGGGGAAGGGGAAGGGGATGGTGGTGAGGCCGGGCGTGGCGTCGACGACAACGAGCGTGAGTAGACACGCGAACAGCAGCAGCACGTACTGCGCCGCCAGGAACCACAGCGGCTCCACGCCTGCCAGAGAAAGGAATGCGTAGGGGCAACGGGGATAGGAGTCAAAGGGCGCACATGGAAGGTGCAGCACATGCAGTGGATGGGGCAGGCGGGAAGGCAAGCGGGGTGCGGGCGGTACCTGGGAAGAGCGGCTGGCGGACGGACTCGGTGAAGAAGCCGAGCGACGTGAAGGCGACGGCGGAGATGGCGGCGTGCCCGACCACGTGCGCGTCGCACATCAGCACGAAGTCCGCCGTCGCCGTGCGCAGCACCCTGGCGCCGCCGTACCTGGAGGGGAAAGAGTCCGTGGAGGCAAGAGGGGAAGGGAATGTGGGGGGAAGGCAGCATGCGGCAAGCCTGATGACAGCCACGCGGTGGGCGCTCAGAGGGAATGTGCTGCACTGCCCCGCGGGAGCAAAGCGGGGGGCACACTTTTAGCAACCACGAGTTTCCGCGTGACTTGCGCGGCTGCGCGGGAAATTCGTGGACGAATAGCCCATCCGAAAGCACTAGGGAGGCAAGGCAGTGAGAAAGCAAGCGCGCATGACTAACCGCGGCGAGTTAGGCGGGAGGCGCTTGAGGAAGGCGAGGAGCGTGGAGGCGAGCAGGCACCAGATGAGCGCCACGGTTATCGCCGTCTTGCGACTCGCCGCGTCCCCCGCGCACGACGCCAGCACCTGCGCGCACCCCACACGGGCAGACGCACGAGGCGACAGCGAGGGATGGCGGGAGAGGGGTGGCGGCAAGAGAAAGTGACGAGAAGGACGGGGTAGCGAAGGAGGAAGTAAGCGACGGGTAAGAAAACGAAGAAAGGAAACAGCGAGAGGTGGGAAGAAGGGGAGCAGGGAGGGCACGGAGCGGGACGCACGAACGCGAAGTTGAGGACGAGCAGCGAGCCGAAGGGGAAGTACTTGGAGAGGCGCGCCGGGAAGAAACACTGCGTGCCGTCCGTCACACCCGCGGCCCTCGCTGCGCCCCGCCCCCGCTGTCGCTGCGCATGCGCCGGGCCTGCCATGCCGAGGAAGGGATGAGAGGAATGGCGAGGCGGGGATGGAGGGGGTTGAGTCAGCCCAAGCGAATAATCGCGGATTGTGAGACGAGTGGGCGCGGAGCACGAGTGGGCACCTACCTGCCCATACGAGGCCGCTCTTGCGATTCTCGCGCGGGCTCGTTCCGTCGTCCACTTGTATCCACGCCTCGCCCGCTGTCTCGCCCGACGGCTCTAAGTCCGCCCCCGACATGATCGCCCGCGCTCCCTGCTAGTCGCACTGTTATTCGCTCTGCTAATCGCACTTTCTGTTCGCCGCAAATGACGCTCCTGTTTCCACCAACTCGTCGCGTTTCGCGTTAGGAAATGCTCGCTTACACCTGGTTGCCTTGCTCAGCCGCCTTACGCAAATCACCCACCCAGCTAGTGCAATCCAACCTGCTCCCTTCGCCCCACCTCTTCCTCCCCCATAAGAGCCTTTTCCGGTCATCGTCAAGCAAGTTCGATTGGAGAAGACGCGGCTCGGATCCCATGCACTGAGGGTCGACGAACGTGAGTGATGTGAATTCACCAAGGATGCCCGACTCGGACAAGGCAGGGACGTGCGGGATGAGTTTCGTCCACATGTAGTGTAGTGACTCGTGATACACTGGGCTGGATCTCGGTATGCGTATAATAAATAATATATGTGACATTGGTGTAACCCTTTCACATATCCTCGTTATTGTATTCATCGACCCCAAACAGAAACAGTGATTGCTCGTCATGAGCACTTTTGACTCGTCTGCGCGATTCGATACGTTTCGCTCAACCAGCTGCAACAAACCAAATCTTTGCCATCCCAGCACCATCGCGGGGGGGAGATCAGGCAGGCGACTGCACATCACCACCAGGCTTGTCGAAGTTCCTGGGACCCTTAATTACGCTCCCCAGCTCCTTCCCATCTGACCCTGTTTTTGGTGTGGCTGAGGGTTTGGGCGCCCTTAACGGTCACGGGCGCACCCCAAAGTGAAAACTTTAAAATCCGGGCCTGTGTAGAGTTTGCACTTAGACGCTAAGGGATATTCTGGGTGCTCCAAAGCTGACTTAATCACTTTACAAACACGGGATGGCTAGAGCACGCTAAGGGAAAAATCTACTCCTCTCGTGCAACCTAAGGAGAAAGGGGGGGGGGTGGGGCACATAGACGCTAAGGGAAAATTCGGGAGCCAAGCTGACTTAGACACTTTACAAACACAGGATGGCTAGAAAACGTGAAGGCAAAAATCCACTCCTCTCGTGCAACCTAAGGAGAAGGGGGGGGGCGACACTTAGACGCTAAGGGGATATTCGGGTGCTCCAAGCTGGCTTAGACACTTAACAAACACAGGATTGGCTAGAAATTGCGAAGGGAAAAATCCACTCCTCTCGTGCAACCTAAGGAGAAAGGGGGGGTGAGGTCAGAAAGAATTTAGGGGGGGGGTGGGTCCTACAACCAGAAACCATAACTTCGAGACAGGGAAAGGTCTGGTTTGGGCCCTTAACGCATCCGGGGTAGGGTCGAGCGAGGCACTTAGTTGCACGGGTGCAGTGCGAATCTCACACTTTTGGCAGTCGAGCTGGGGCGAAAGTAGCCCGGAATGTTCAGGGCATTAAGGGCATATGCTCTTGAATCGACATGCCTGATCACCACCACTGTCGCTTGCGCCGTTTCCGACTTCACCACCGCGCGCTGCAGGGGGACTCTGCAACTCCCCCCCATACCAGAAGCACGGGGGAGCAAAAGCAGGTTGGTGTTGCCCTGCTCGCACACTCAAACACATTACCGCCTTTTTTCGTGAAAGTTGTTAGCGTTGCATGGAGTCGCACACTCGGCTACGAAGTACTGAAATTAGACATTGGAGCACACTTACAGATGCCATGCGAGCACCGTGTGCGATGAACGAGGCCCACTCACGCAACGATGCGTGCCGGTAGTTGTGCGCCCGTGCTATCGCCCCCCGTTCCTCTTATCCCACGCGTCGCCACGCCGCCATCGCCTCGCGCTCTGTCCGCGCCCACGCCTTCCTTTTCGCCCGTCCTGTTCCCGCCTTCGCGCCGCGCCTCCCGCTCGCCGCTATGGGCTGCGCTAGTTCCGCGCCCACCGCCAACGCGGCAGCGGGGGAGGTTGGGAATGGCGGCGAGGGCCAGGCGGAGGAGTGGACACTGTGCGGATGCGGGGGGAATCGGCGCGCTAAGGAGGGGAAGGTGCGGACGCAGGCGGGTGGGGAGAAGAGGCGGAGGACCAGGGAAAACGAGGCGCAGAAAGGGGAGGCACTGAGGGACGGGCGTGCGATTAAGAACGAGCGGAACGCGGAAGTGATGCGCGGTGGGGACCGAGTCGAGGAGAGGGACGAGAGGAGAGAAGCGCACGACGGGAGAGTGGGAGGCAAGGTGCGCGCAGAGGACGGGCAGAATGGCGCGGAGCGTTGCGATGGCACGGGGATGAACGGCGGAGCAGGGGGCGGCACGCTCAAGGTGCGCAGCACTGAGGGGGCTGCGGGCAGGGGGAGGGTGCAGGCAGGGCGCGCTCTGGCCTGGCAACGAGGGGGGCGCGGCGGGGTGGGAGGGAGGGATGCGCGCGGTAGATGGGCGGAGCACGGGGGATTTAGGGATGCGCGGGATGAGTGGGGGCGCACTGGATGATGGTGGGGTGCAAGGGGTGGGAGGCGGAATGGTGGATGTGAAGGAGGGGAGGGGGGCGGAGGGCGCACGTGGGCGTGCATGTGCACAAGTCCCTTGACATGCTTATCTGCGTGTGTGTGTGTGTGTGTGTGTGTGTGTGTGTGTGTGTGTGTGTGTGTGTGTGTGTGTGCGTGTGTGTGTGTGTGCGTGTGTGTGTGTGTGTGTGCGCTCTTATCCGTGATTGCAGCAAGCAGAGCAAGCAGAGCAAGCAGCAGCAGCAGGCACCCAGCCTGGCGAGGCAGCGACAGCAGTAGAGGGCGCCTCGCCACCCACACGGTGCGCCTTCACATGCCACCTCCCCTTCCTCTCCCTGCCTCCCCTGCGTGCCACATTTCACATGCCACACCATCGCCACAACACGCCCCTCCCCTTGATTCACAGCCCCCACCACTCATCCCCCACCGCGCGTCCTCCACCGCCCACCATTGCAGGAGCGCACTGCCCCCACGGCCCACCCAGCTCGCCCAATCCGCGGCCAGCATGCAATCCCCCACCAGGTGCCGTACTCCCTGGCCACCACGTGCCATTCCACTTTGCCGCTCCGCTTCCTGCCCGTGTCGTCTCCTCAATGCCCCCCGCGTCATGCTCACTCTTGCTGAAGCCCGTGTGTGTGTGGCATGGCATGTGTGCGGCACACACAGCAGGGTGGGCGTGCTGGCGTTTGAGGTGGCGGCAGCGGTGGTGAGGGCGGGGGTGGTACGGCAGTCAGTGGAGGGGGAGGACGTGGACGAGCTGCGCAGGGAGGTGTTGGCGTCCGATGGCATCGCCTTCCTCCTCTCCTCTGACTTCAACCACGTCTGGCAGATCGCCGCCCGCGATAAGTGGTCAGTCCGGCACATCCCTGCTTGCGCTGTCTGCTCGTTGCCTCCTTCCTCGCTGCGTGCAACAATCTCTCGTGCCTTCACTTGCAGCTCTATTGAATTGTTCCTTTATGTGCACCCCTACCCTTTCCCTCCCCCTCCACCACCCCCTACCCACCCACCCCCCTTCACCCGCATGGCTACTGCATGCAGGGAGGAGGTGGGGCGGCTGGCAGCGAGTGTGGCGCGCCTCGGCTCGCAGTGCACTGACACCGCTCTGCACTCCCTCGCCCTCCGCTTCTCCAGGTCCGCCTGCCACCCGGGTGGCACGCAACACTGTAGCAGGTGCACTGGGGGGCGGGTGGCAGGGAATGCGCAGAGGGCAGTGGTGGGGGGGGGTGGCAGGGCGGCCACAGTACAGCAGCGAGCGCATGATCACGGCTGTTACCCCCATTCCACAGTCACCCCCGTGCCCCCCCCTGTGCTGTGCCTACCCGCCTTGCTTCCCAACGCGGGACCCAATGCCTGCAAGCCATAGATGCTTCTTACACCGCCTTCCACCCCCCGTGCCCATCCCTCGCCCCACGCCTTGTCCCCCTCTCGCATCCCAGCCTGGCTGCAGCAGTGAGGGAGCGGCAGGGGGGTGGGGGGGAAGAGCAGGGGGGGGCGGAGGAGGGGGAGGAGGGGGAGGCGGTGGACGAGCTGCTGCTGCAGCTGGAGGAGGACGCTCAGATCACCATGGTGAGCCGCTGACGTCACTGGGGTGAGCTGCTGACGTCAGTGCGTCAGCAAGGTGGTGACGTGGGCATGGTGTGATGTGTTGTTGTGGATGTTGGTATGGTGGGATGGTTTGACTGCCATTTGCCAACATGCCACCACCCATTCCCACGGCCTACCTCATACATGCTCGCTGACCTCCCATGCCCGTGCGCTCCCCATCACCTGCCTTGTCGCCATGCATGTTTGCAGGAGCTGAGGCGCGAGGTGCTGCTGCTAGAGGCCATGCGCCGCGACATGGATGCCGCATGCGACTCTGGTGCCCATGCTGGTGATGCTGGGGGTGATGGTGGTGGTGGGGTTGTTGGTGATGGTGATGGTGATGGTGATGGTGATGGTGATGGTGATGGTGCAGCATTTAGTGCATTTTGAAGAGATCTGCATGCGGGGAGGCATGCCAGCAAAGAGGCATGCATGTGTTGTGTTGCCGCTCTCACATCCTGTGTGGCACTCACATCACATCACATGTGGTGCGGTGTGGTGTGGTGGTGTGTGCAGGGGAGAGGGCGGCGGAGCTGAGGGCACAGAAGGAGCGGGTGCGCGCCATGCAGGAGAGCTCCTTCTGGGACCGCCCCCTCCATGAGGTGATGCTCTGCCGTGTATGGCATGCCATGGCATGACATGGGGTGGTACCGTCCTGTGGTGTGATGTGATGTGATGTGTTATGATTTGGGGATCGTTGCATGAGCAATACGAAAGGGACGATGCTCCTATCCGCATCACTGCACCACCAGAACCGTCTCTTCTCCTCCACCCAACCCGTACCCCCGCCCCCCTTTAGTTGGTGCGCCAGCTGGCGCGTGTCGTGGATCATCTCATCCGCCTGGTCTCCTCCACCTTCGGCCCGCTGCGTGAGTGCATCTCATGCTGCATTGCTGCGTGAGTGCATCTCATGCTGCATTGCTGCGTGAGTGCATCTCATGCTGCATCGCTGCGTGAGTGCATCTCATGCTGCATCGCTGCGTGAGTGCATCTCATGCTGCATCGCTGCGTGAGTGCATCTGATGCTGCATCGCTCTCCGCCCTACCTCACTGCCACCATCACTATGCCCTTCCATATCCATTCTCACACCCTTCCATCCCATCCCCCCACTCCCCCCCGCGATTCTTCCCCCACACTCTCCTTCACACCCGTACGCTCTCTCATCCCCGCATGCCCCCAACGCCCATGGCAGCACCGGACGTCCCTCTGCTGCCCGTGCGAGGGAAGGGCGCACAGGCGGAAGGGGGGAGGGAGGGGCAGGCGGAGGGGGGGAGGAAGCTGGGGGAGTCGGGCATGGCGCTGGCGTATGCGCGGCTCATCATCGCCATCGACCTGCTGGTGAGGCGCCCGCCGCCTGCTGGATGCCATGAGATGATATGACATGCCATGAGATGATATGACATGCCATGAGATGATACGCCATGCCATCCACCTGCTGCTGAGACGGCAGCAGCGCTAGGGATGTGAGCACGACTGGAGATAAGAGGAGTGACTGTGGCAGGTCGTTTGTCTGCTTCACCACTGCACTCGCACTGCCTCCCACGTGTCTTCTCCGATCCCTCTCCCATGGGTACCCACTCCTTTCCTCTGCACGTCTGCACCTCTCCCCTTGAACCCTCCCCGTTCTCTTCCCCCACTCCTTCCCCTTTTTGGCGGGAGCAGGTGGGAATGCAGGGGGCGGAGAGCCGGAGGGACTACCTGTACTCGCTGCTGCCACACTCGCTGCGCTGCAAGCTCAAGGGGGCGCTGCTGCAGTCACAGCACATCTGCATGGTGGGCATAGCCTGTGCCGTGGCATGTCATGCCATGCTGTGACCCATGCTATGCCATGCTATGCCTGCCATGCCAGCCCTCCACCTGGAACCTGAATGCAAGTCATGCTGTGCTCCAGCCTCCAAGTGGGCATCCTGTGGGTGTTGAGTCGTCTCTTTGTATTCATGCCATGACACATGATTGCATCTGAGCTGTGTTGTTGTGGCATGATGTGGTGGGCTGGCATGACATGGATGGTATGTGGGTGGCATGGATGGTATGCGGGTGTGGGGTGCACGGCATGGGTGGCATGGCACGGATGGCAGGAGAGCACGGAGAGCATAGAGGAGAAGCTGGAGGGCGTGTTGGACTGGCTGGTCACCATGGCAGACAACACCATCAGGTGAATTCAACATCATCAGGTGATTCCAACAACATTAGGTGAATAAACAGCACGATGTGATTCTAACACCACCAGCTTTTTGCAACTCCATCCGGTGTTCTATCAACGTTATAGATTTATCTTTCCTTTAATCCCCATTCTCCTCTTCCCAACCTGCTCCTCGCTGCCCCTCTCCCCATCCCTCCCCCTCCAAGCAGGTACGCCAGTGACGTGCGGGTGCGGGGAGGCAGTGCGTTGAGTCGCCTGCAGACGCTGCAGCACGTGGAGGAGGCGCGCATGGAGCGCCTCGTGCTGCTGCTGCTCATCGGCCTGCAGCACCTCGCCAGCCGCCAGCAGCTCCCCCCTCCCCCCGCCCCCGCACACGCACACACACCTGCCCCCTCCACCGCCTCACCGCATGGGGTGGGCGAGGGGGGGAGCGGCAGCGGTGGGGGCGGGCCCAGTGGCAAGTATGCGATGACAGGCGCCGGGGGAGGCCCATGGGGCGCTGGCAGGGGCGCAGGCAGGGCGGGTAGTGGCGCAGCTGAGAGGAGGGGTAGGGATGCAGGGGAAGAGGGGAGAGAGACGAGAGAAGGGGAGGGACAGGAGGGTGAAGGGGGGAGCAGTGGCAAGGGGGAGAGCAGGGAGGCAGCAGGCAGTGGAGCGTCTGCTTTACCCGCTACTCCAGGTGGTGGTGGTGGTGGCAGGGAGAGGGGGTGGGCGAGTCACACGCGGGTGTGGCACCCCATCCCATGCACCGCCATCACAGCCCCCTTCCCGCCGCCTGCCGCCCACGTGGCAGCTGACTTGGCCAGTGACGTGGCAGGTATGGAGGGTCACTCGCCAAGCATGCCTGCAGCAGGGCCTGCCAGCGAGGAGCGAGCCGTGGGGTCGGTTGCAGCACATGCAGCGGTGGGCCCGTGGGGGCAAGAGGCAGCCCGGGGAGATGCCGGCACAGCAGAAGCAGGGAGCGGGTTGATGGCAGTAGAGGCGGGTGCAGCAGAGGGTACACGGGAGGAGACCGGCGAGGGCAGGGCGCCGAGCAGCGAGGAGCGCGTGGGCAGCCCCGGAGGCATGCAGGACGTGCCTCCCATCGACCTGCACGCTGCTGCTCTGTCCTGCCACCCGCAGTGGTCGCCGGGGTCAGGCAGCGACCCCCCGTCCCCCGCTCCCCTGCCGTGGTCGGGGCCGCTGAGCGAGCGCAGCAGCGTGGGGCGCGCGTCCCAGGCCAGCAGCCCCGGTGGCGTGGCGTGGAGCGGTGGTGTGCGGCGCACGGGCAGTGCGGAGGGCAGCCGGGAGGGCGAGGGCGTGGAGGAGTGGAGCGACATCCTGGCCCACTTGTCGTCCGCTGCTCGTGGTGCCGTGGGGGGGGTGGGCGGGGTGGGGACAGGGGAGGGTGATGGGGTCGGTGCTGTGGAAAATGCAGCGATAGTGGGGGCCGAGGGTGTGGAGAATGTGAGTGTGGGGAGTGTGAGTAGTGGGCGGCGGGAATGGAGGGTGCCACAGAGTGTGCCTGAGGAGGAGGAGGAAGGCGAGGATGGGGAGTCCAGGGGTAAGGAGGATCAAGGGGAGGGAGAGGCGCAAGTGGGCAGTACAGTTCACAGCGGCACAGGGGAAGTAGCTCCACCAGCAGCAGAGCCAGCAGGGTTGCCGCCATTGGTGGAATCGGACTCGTGTCCATCTGTCCCTCCTGTATCTCATCTGCCCACCGAGCCTCTCACCCCTGGGTCTCTCATGCCACCATCGCCCTCTGCTGCCATGCCACCGCGCTCCGCCCTGCTAGCCAGTGCAGCACCTGCAGCAGGCGGAGTGGATGGCGCCATGCCCGCCACTGTGCTTGCCACCGCCGTTCCCAGCAGCGTGGCAGCAGAAGGGGGCCCGGTGGCGAGGGTGCGGGCGAGGGCCCCGCGGGCGGGGTGGAAGAGCAAGAGCCAGCCGCTGGAGCGACTGGCGGCGCGCATGAAGCAGCGGCAGCAGCGGGCCGCAGGGCAGCTGCAGGAGAGCACAGGGGGCAGCCCCCAGCTTCAGCTGCAGGGCGAAGGGGGAGGCAGGGGGCTGGCAGGGCAACAGTCAGTCTCGCGCACTCTGAGTCGCCTGCAGCAGCAGCAGGCCAACAGCCTTACCGCCTCCTCTGCTGGCGGCGCTGCCCTGGGCGCGGACTCCCCCCTCCACGCTCGTGTGCTGCGCCGCGCGCTCACTCCCAACCCCGGCGCTGCTGCTGGCGGCAGCCACAGCGGAGGGCTGGAGAGGCGTGTGGGGAGGGGGCTGGGGAGCGCGTGGGAGGGGGACATAGGGGTGGGGGTGGAGGGGGAGGAGGAGGAGGAGGCAGACATCGATCGCATCCTGGATGCGCGGCCTGACATGGACATCAGCGCCCTCAGCCCCATGCTCATGCGCTCCCCCTCCTTCGGCCGCCAGCAGTACTGGATGGTGTGAGGTGCAGTGCGGTGCTCAGTGGCATGGCTGTGTGCTGCATGCTGTTTTTGGCCACTCATTCATGAGTAGCTCCCATTGGTGTTGTCCAAGCTGGTTGCATATCTAGGAGCAGGTTGCGCAGCGATGTCACTTCTTCCATGCTGCCACCCCAGTTGATTTGACATCAAGTGTACCATAATCTCACCAGAGTAGTACTGTAAGGAAATTCCCTTTTCCTTACTTCGCGTTCCTGCTCAACGCGTACGTCACTGTAGCACCTCAGTCAGCACCGTTACCACTCACGACCATCGCATCATTCATTATCCCGCCCTCTTCGCACATCGCATCCCGACCTCACGGCTCGGCTGGTAACCCGCGCTCCGGGCCTACGCTTCGACACTTTCCCAACCTCAGCCCCAGGCTCGTCGCGCGACAACCACAGTCCATTACCGTTACCACTATTGTTTTCGCTATATAACCCTTCGCTCATGCCTTCGCTCATTGTACTCTTTGCTTCGATAGTGCAATTCTCGTTCGTTCACTCAATTGCACTCGTAACACTTGGTAATCAGAGCCTACGATCTCATCTCGGACCGCATCCACACCTTCGCTTCCCACTATCTCAATTTTTGGGGGGGGTAGACGTCTCTCAGCGACACAGCACCGCCGCTCGTAGTGCTCTCTCGCAAGCACGCACGGCCACGACCGAGGCTCTCGCTGAGCTTGCCCGACACCCCCGCCATGGCCGACCTCACTCTCGCCACGTTGACGCAGGAACAACTCGATCGTCTCGTGCGACAATTGGAGGATTCGGCGCTTGAAATCGCGACGCTCACGGCGGAACGTGACTCCGCTCGTCAACAGTCAACGGTGAATGCTCCGACAACATCCCACGCACCAACCAATGTCTCTGTACATTCGGAGGAACCGATTATCATTTCATCCGGCACACCAACGCAACACAACAACACGGGACAGCGCTCAGGCGCAGCCAGTGACGGCGCAGCCCAACCGATGCCCGGCATGGGAGGGAACAGGAGCACGCTAAGCCCACGGGAGCCCCGAGAAGCCCGTCGGCACGTGGAGTTTGCGACGACAAGTGGTGAAAACGCCATGATGGCCCCAATGCCACTCATGTGAAACTAACTGAACAGGAATGAATTGACTAAGTCAGAGTTGGGTACAAATACAACCCTAGCAAACTGTACCCCATATGTGCTACCCCACTATAGCCTACAAACATGCATCAGCTATAATAATCTGACACACCCCCATAGGCAAAGTGGGGGAGAACAAGGGGTCACAAGACCAGTCAAGTAAAGCAAAGCAAGCTCAGGGTGGATCACAAAGTCACCACACAGTCCGAGCACAAGAGCAAGGCCAGAGGCCAGTTCACATGCAAGAGTACAGACATATATATAAAACTAGACAAGCAAGAGCAGGTATATATATGTCAAAGTACAAGTAAAGTCAAGAAGAGAGCAAGTGAGGCAAGACAGGTACAAGACCCAGCTGGGTACAAAAGCGCTGATGGTCGCAAGGCGCAAGTGCCTTGGTGAACACATCAGCAGTGTTGGCCTCAGAGGCCACGTAAGCAAGTCGCAACTGACCACGCTGCTGCAGCTCACGAGCAAGGAAGTAGCGGAGAGCAATGTGCTTCGTTCTGTGCTCCAAGCGCTGCTCTCGACACAAGGCCAACATGGCCTTGTTGTCTACGTACAGCACTGGAGGAGAACGAGGCAGCTCTCCAAGGTCAGTCAGCAGGTAGGTGAGCCAGCGAAGCTCCTGTGCAGCCATGGCCCCGGCGTAGATCTCAGCCTCACAGCTGGAGCCGAGAACCGAAGACGAGCGAGTAGACCGCCACGAGACAGAGCCGGAACCAAGGCTGAAGGTGTAACCCTGTAACGACCGCTGCGTAGCCTGGTCGTCAGCCCAAGAAGCGTCTGCGTGCCCAGTAAGGACCACTGGACTCCGCCCTCCAAGCACTAGCCCCATGCCCGACGTACTGCACAGGTAGCGCAATACCCTCTTCGCTGCAGCCATGTGCTCTGGTCGGTGTCTCCCAGGAGCAACATAGCGTGCAAGGATGCTCAGAGGGTATGCAAGGTCAGGTCGTGTGCAGGTCATCAGGTACATGAGGCAGCCAACAAGCTCTGCATACGGACCACTCGACTCTACGGACTCATCCGAAGGCAGAGCTGAGAGTGAGTGGCGAGTAGGCAGAGGAGTGGCCTGAGGCGAGGAGTACGTGAAGCCGAAGCGCTGAAGGACCTGCTGCACCATGTGTGACTGAGTCAGGGTAATGGTGCGGCGTGCTCTGTCCCGAGTGATCTGCAAGCCAAGGTAGCTGCGCAGTTCACCCAGGTCTGTGCACGTGTGTCTCTTCAGCAGCTCGGACTTCACGTAGGCGAGTCCAGCAGTGTCCGCTGTGGCAAAGACCAAGTCGTCGACGTACATGAGGATGTAGAACGGCGGCAGGGAAGTGTCGGTGCGAAGAAACAGCGACGGGTCAGCAGTAGAAGGAGCAAACCCAAGAGCCGCAAGCGTAGTCCTCAGTGTGTCGTGCCACTCACGCGGTGCCTGGCGGAGACCGTAGACTGGCCGTCGGAGGCTCCACTGGGTGCCAGGAGGGAAAGTCCCAGTGAAGCCAGGCGGACGGCGCAGCCAGATCTCCTCGTGCAGGCTACCCTGCAGGAACGCAGTGCTGAAGTCGAGAGAGTGAAGCTCGTAGTCGCGCTGAGCGGCAATGTGCAGCAGCACCCGAAGAGTGGTCATCTTCGGGGTGGGAGAGAAGGTCTGAAAGTAGTCAACTCCCTGCCGCTGACTGAAGCCACGAGCCACGTAACGCGCCTTGAAGACAGGCGGCGAGCCCGGCGGCCGCTTCACCCTGAAGATCCACATGCCACTGACGATGTTCGCCCCAGGAGGGGGAACCGCGTCAACGTAGGTGCCTGTGGACTTCCAGGAAGCCATCTCTGCATCCATAGCTGCCTGCCACTGAGAGGAGTAGGGACCCTCTACGGCCTCCGCGTAAGAACGCGGAGTCGGGATGTCTAGTGCATCCAGGTCTCCCTCAGGGGCTAGCAGTACAGACGCGAGACGAGGTGAAGCAGCGGCTAGACACTGGAACTCCTCCTGCCTGTCCTCTAGGACGTCCGTGCCAAGGGCACACTCACCCCCGACGGACGGAGGACAGGCGGACTCAGACTCAGCGACAAGACGAGCAGCGTAGTCTAGACGACAGCGCGCAGCAAAGTCGACAAGCTCAGTGACAAGGGCAGACGCAGCAGACGACTCGAAGGAAGGGTCAGTGACAGCAGTAGCAAGGAGACGCGTGACAGTAGGACTGGCAGCACGAAGAGAGTCCGACTCCGGGTCGGCAAGAGCAGGAAGAGAGGAAGCAGGAGGAGAAGGCAAAGGGGCACGCAGAGGAGCAGTGGACGGACGCAGTGACATCCGGTGCGTGCCAGGGACAGGAGGAGGACGCTGACGCGACCCGCGACCACTAGCGCGCTCAGTACGAACAGGCGACGCAGGACGAGACGCAGGCTCACGACGCTCAGTAAGGCCTCCAGTCGGACCAGCGTAGGGAGAAGGAGCAGGCAAAGGGGAGGCAGGCTCTAGCTGTGGCTGTGACCGGACAGGCTGCGGACCCTCTAAGGGAGGAGGAGGAGGAGCAAGACCAAGAACCTGCTCAAGGAGCGGAACGAAGTACGGTCGAGACCGCGCGACGACGCCAGAAACAGCAGGAACAGAACCAGCAGCTCCGGCCGGAGGACCCAGTCCAGCAGCACCTCCAGCAGAACCACCAGAAGCTCCAGAACCTCCAGCAGCAGCACCAGGAGCACCGTCAGTCGGACCACCAACCGCAGGCTCAGCGCCAACGTCCTCAGCAGGACCAGCTCCAGGAGAACCCTCAGACCCAGCAGCTCCAGCACCCACAGGACGAGCACCGCCAGGTCGCGTGGCAGCAGCGCCCTCCGCAGCCGAAGAACCACCAGCACCAGCGGCACGCCTCCAGCGCCGGGCAAACCACTCACGCAGCTCCTGTGGAGAGAGCGGCTCCCGGCGAGACGAAGCACCCCCAGGCACAGCACCTCTAGGCTCGGCACCTCCAGGCTCAGCACCCCCAGGCTCAGCACCCCCAGGCTCAGTACCCCCAGACACAGCACCCCCAGGTACAGCACCCCAAGGCTCAGCACCCCCAGGCTCAGCACCCCCAGGCCCAGCACCCCCAGACTCCGCACCCCCAGGCTCAGCACCCCCAGGCTCAGCACCCCTAGACTCCGCACCCCCAGGCTCAGCTCCCGCAGCAGCACCGGAGTCACCAGTGACCTCGACAGTCTCGACCGCGTCTACCTGAGACACACCTGAAGGGGCAGGACCCTGAGGGGGAAGGGGGACTACTGGGGGGGGACCTGGTACCAAGAAGAGCGGGGGTGGGGGGAGGGACGGAGTGCGGTAGGGGAAGAGGCGGTAGTAGGGTACCGACTCGTCGAACGTGACGTCCTGGGAGGACAGAACACGTCGAGAGGTGGGGTGGTAAAACTGCCACCCAGGGGCGTCGGAGGGGAACCCCAGGAAGACGCAGGGAGAAGCACGAGGGGACAGCTTGTCCGCAGACAGGTCGCGAACAAACGCCCGAGATCCCCAGACCCGGAACGCCGACGCATCGCCAACCTTCCCCGTCCACAGCAGGGCTGGGGAGGTCTCTGGTCGAGAGACCCTGGGGTGGAGGTTGATCTGGTGCGCAGCGTACCTGACCGCAAACGGCCACAGAAAATGGGGAGCAGCCGCATGCATCATGGACGTACGAGCGACGTCCATGACCATGCCAATGCGGCGCTCAGCGATCCCATTCTGCTGTGGTGAGTCCGGAAGCGTGAAGGTCTGACGGATGCCTCGCACACGACAGTAGGCACTCAGGAGGGCAGAGGAGAACTCTCCGCCTCTGTCCGAGTGCAGACGCAAGACAGGGAAGTCAGAGCCAAAGCTTCTCCGAAGCTGAAGACGAGCTGCGC